TTTCCAAGTAGCAGCTGGTGGATTGAACTGCTGACCTTTTGGTTAGCAGTCAAATGCTCAGCCACTGCACCAGCAGGGCTGCTGTGATTCTAATAGGCATTTCAATTATTGCATGATCACACAAACTTGTAGGCTTGGTTTTATGCTTTGTTGTAACGGATTTGTGTAAATTACAAGATATTTCCTGAAGCCCTCTATTTCGGCAGGACTTGGATTCTATCTCTTTTTTGAATCATGTTGAGGCTTGATCTTAGGCTTTGTTATGAAGGGTCTAGAGTAGTCCTTAGCATCTTGCATTAATTTACTCCCAAGGTGCAACTTTTTTGTTTTCTTAGCTGGATGCTCAGGTGCTAAAGATTTGTCTCTACTCTAGCAACCTCCCCAGCACTGTTCCCCAGCACTGTTTGCTCTCTTGTACCTATGTTCTGTTCTCAGCCCCATAGGAGCTGCCTTTTGAAAAGCCTCATGTTTTCTCACCCATATATGTGCAACCCAGGACTTAGCCAATGACTGGTGATCCCTTAGTATAGATACCTTCTCTCCAGATTCCCATTGTTTACATACAATGTAGTATGGTCTCCACCTCCTCATCCCAGTGTGATAGCACGCTTTGCTTTGACATCTACTTACTAGCCTACAATCAGGAAATCCTCCCAAGCAGAGATCTGGAGCCATCGTGGTGCTTACCTTTTGACTTTGCCTCCTAACAGGGTTCCCTTCATTGTGCCACCTGGAAATTGTCGCCTCATGGATTTTATTCAGTTTCATGATTTCTTTTTTTTTTTTTTCTTTGCTTTTTAACACTTTATTTTTATTTTTTAGTTACATGATTTCTTATGGTGGGTAGACTACCCTGCCATAACCAGAAGCAGAAGTCAAGACTTATATTTTTAATATAGATTTTAGATATTTAATTTCTTCAGGTGATATTTATTTCTTTATGTATGTTTTGACTTGGATAATTTTAGTCTGGAATCCACACATTTAAAATGTGAGAAGAAAATATATTTGGAAAACTATAAAAGAGATGATCTGCTACATCAAATGAATAGAATCAAGCATTCTGTACCAGGAAGAGATAGCGAAGCTTCTTACACATAATGGTACCTTTGTGCAAATCACCAACAGTGTCCCCTCCAGAGAGACAAACAAATGTTTCCCTTCTGGGACCATGATGGATATAATTGCAAAAAGGAATCCTTTTCTCTGGCCCAACTAAACACTGGGAAAGCGCACAGGGCTTGGTGATTTGAGTATGGGCTGTGGGACCAACATGACTAACCTTAGGCAGATCCTAGGTTTAAGGTCTAATCCTTTGGAAATCACATTCAGAATGTAGACCCCAATGCTGATAAGACCCTGTGAGACCCAACCTGTGTGCCTCAAAGCATACAAATCAACTACCCTAAGCAGCTCACTAAGGAGCCCTAGTGTCACAATGGTTAAGTACTCATCTGCTAACCAAAAGATCAGTGGTTCAAACCCACCAGCAGCTCCAATGGAGAAAAGATATGGAGAGCTGCTCCCGTAAAGATTATACCTTAGATAAATATATGGGGCAGTTCACTGTGACGTGTAAGGTCAGTATCAGTTGAAATAAAGTCGACACACAACAATAACAAGGAGCTCACTACTGGATTAAAGAGACCACATCTGGCACATTTGGAGATCAACACTCTCTAAAAGAGGAAATTTTATTTTTCTGCTTCATGGATGTTAAAAAGACAAACTGTACTATAGGGTTGCTATGAGTTGGGATCGACTCAACGGCATCGGGTTTGGATTTTTTGGTTTATAGTATTCATGGAAAATCCAGAGAAGTTTAACAAGAAAATTTTATGAACGAAGACAATCTAATTTACAATTTAGATATAAAAACTAAATAGGCTGGCATAAAAAAACCAAACCAAACCCGTTGCCATAGAATCAATTCCGACTCATAGCGGCGCTATAGGACAGAGTAGAACTGCCTCTCATAGAGTTTCCAAGGAGCACCTGGTGGATTTGAACTGCCAACCCTTTGGTTAGCAGCCATAACACTTAACCACTACTCCACCAGAGCTTCCAGGCTGGCGTAGTCCTCCTGAATTTATTATTTAAATTAAATTATCATCTTCAACAATATACTATAATGCCACACTATTGATTGGGATGGAATTTGTTACTTTAAGTTCTAGATTTCAAATAAAATTTATTGATTCTTTATTGTTCTTCTGGGTCTTGATGATCTGGGAGGAGAGAGAAAGAAAACACAGTGAAAGTTCAGCAATTGAGATGAAACTCATGTTACATTTGCTTTTCACCCACACTGCCTCTCCTTCCCATGAGCTACGTCATTCACCTTGTCCTTCCTCAAAGGCTGTTCCTTCTCTCTCACCTGTCTCATTTAATGCGTTACTCTCTTTTGAGTCATCCTTCAACACCAATGATCTTGAGCTTGAAAGATACATTTCTTCATCCCCAGCATGGGCACATTTCAACAGGGCAGGGGTTCCACAAATGAGGTGAAGGAGAATGACAGGAGAGATTGCAAAGCATTGAGGGGCAGTCCGCACTGGGGCAAAAAGGTAGGAAGAGCGTACAAAGGGTAAAGGTTTCTCTTGGTGCAATTGCTGTTGCTTAGATTAGAACACAGGGATGCTGAATTAAAGAATCTGAGAAATAGAATGATTTATGTGTATGTGTTGTCTGTGTGCCTGAATATCTCAATATTTCTATTTGAATAATTTGCATTTCAATTTAGCTTGGGGCACTCTTGTCAAGAATCCAGTGGTGAAGTTTTGTATGTCTTTGTGTGGGGTGATCATTTGTATATGTGACAAAGAATGTGTTATTATGTAGAGTCAACCATATCTTTCATTTCGCTAAAAGACTGTGCATTTTGCTCTAAGATGAAGTTATTCCAAGAGCCTGGAACCCCCTTGATCATTTGTGTCTAGCATTGCTTCCTCATTAAGTTTTTTTTTGTTGTTCCCGTTGTTGCTTATTATCCATATGTTCCAGTTTTTCTGTGCTCTCTGTTCACTTTTTTTTTTAATTATCTTTTGTATTATCCTTTACCTCAGGGCAATCCAAAACATTAGTCTTTTCCTTAGCTTCATCCTCATGCCTCTGATCTCATTAGCTTGCCCAAAAATTTGGACTCTGGAGCCTGACAGCCTGGGCTGAAATCTCACTTTTATCACTACTAGCTGTGCCAATTAGGTCAAAGTACTTACTTTTTCTGAGCATCTCTCTCTCTCTATATATATATATGTATATATATATATGAAATTGGAATAACAATTACATCCTCATCATTGTTTTTTGCAAGGATTTATTAAGTTAATATACACATAGTTCTTAGAATGAGCAGAGTTATCAGCCCATGGAGACTGTTCAATAAGCATTTTCTATTAACATAAATGTATGCTACTGTATTATTATTTATTTGGGGCAGTATCATGCAAACCCACAACTTTAACAATCAACTCTAAACTGACAAATATGTGAATCTTCAGTACAAAATTCCTTTTTTTTTTGTTTCAGATCTGTGTATCTCCAGAAAGATGATTAGGTATTTCTTGCATATCCTATAGATACCTCATATTTAACCTGTCCAAAACAGAACTCATTTTCATTTCTTGGACCATGTTCTTCTTCTGCATTCTCAATCTTATTGACTAGTGGCACCACTGCTGCCATTGTCTTATTAAACCCTTAATGATCCTTGAATCTTTTCTCTATCTTACCGTCATACCATAATTAGTGAAAAAATTGTGAGAATCTACTATCAAAAAAGAACTTCTTTCTTTTTTTCCATTACCCAAGCCTTCCTAGTGTTTCTCACCTAGATTTCTGAAAGAGCTTTCTGAGTTGTCTTGGTAAACCAAATCTCCAATTTTAAACAAATTCCTGATTTGTAATATGGCTGATTTCAAGATGCTAAAGGTTTAACAACCAGCTTCCATGATTCTGGAATATTTAACAATAATTCTCTATATTTGGGGAATGAGGAGATTCCAGCTGACCGCTGCTTATGTTTGATCTTTCTTCCTCTAAACCTACTCTCTCTCTCTAACACATCTCTGCAGCTGTTTGCTAGAATATATTTTTTCAAAAATGTCAAAGTGATCAGGCATGGCATTCTTCTGCTTAAAATCTTTCAATTTGTTACCATTTCTGAGAAAAGACTGTACTATCTGGCACTTTTTTTTACCCTCCTGCCACATCTTTCCACAATCTTCCACATCTACAAAAGTTTCAACTGTAGAGAACTCATTATATTCTTTTACATTAGTTTTTGTATTTGCATGTGTCATATTCTCTGCCCAGAATTCTTTCCAATGTCTTTACCTTGCTAAGAAAAGTAATACCTACCTTAGATTGATTTCTCATGATGTCTTAGGAACTGAGATAAGTAATGCCTATGTATTCTCTCATTTAACTTTTAAATCAACCCTCTATGAGATAAAAACTTCCCTATTTTAGAGGGAAACGTTAAAGCAACTAAGTGCTGGAGCCAGTTTTCAAACTAGCTGTTTCTTAATCCAAAGTCCTTGCTCTTCACCACTATGTGAAATTACTTCTGTGCCTGCTAATTTCTACAAATATTTTATTACTGAGAGATAGTATCCCTTTAAAATCTATATGTAGGTCATTTCTTTAATATCTTTTAAAAAATTCCTTCACTTAAAAATGTGTACAAAGGCACCGTTTACATTTTTCCTGCCACCTGTTGACTGTATGTATAACAGAGCAGGAATGTGGTGTTCCCAAAGCCTAAACCAAATTATTTGCCTCTTTGACCAAGTGATGTTCCTCTCTCCACTTCTCACCTTGATGAAACTGTGAATCCCACATGTCAGTTTCAGCTTGTTGTCAATTCTCAGTTGAAAGCAGAAGAGTTGAAGCTTTTCTCCTTCCCCACATTTGATGTTGTGCCATTTTCCGTTCCCCACTACATCCATCTTTCCTGTATCATCCTGTATTTCATAGATCGTGTTCTTCTTATTCATTGTTTTCTGCAACAGAAAATTAACATCCAGTGTCTAGCAACATACCAACTGTCAAATGGATGAGAACAATCCTCATGACAGAGTAAGTACAAGATTTAAGACAATAATTACACATACAGATGTACGGGGAGTTAGGGATAGGTCATCTGAGAGCTCCTTCCTTTTATTTAAACTGTGTTTTGCATTTCCTGTTCTATATTTTTAATGTCTGACATTTCTAGAACAATATGTTGTCTTCTTATTTTCAGCTGCTTCCATCTCCAAAGAAGCTGAAGTTGGCTTAAAGCACCTGGGTATAGAGGAATCAAAAAATCTTGGTGGACGTCTTTGCTCCAGACCGTAAGCAGAAATGAGTGGACATATGCAACACCTGTTCAATATTTAGTAGATTATGAGAAATCTGTATACAAGGAAGTTTCTAATAACTCATTAATTCTTCTCCAAACTTCCCCATTTACTCACTCTTCTCCAAGGTCTTATCCCCATTGACCTAGGACCCTCAGCTCATGCTTCATAATGTTTCACTAATTTAAGCCATTACTCATCAATTTTATGATTGCATTTATAAGCACGGTCTCTTCAAGAGTGTGTCGAAAAGTAAAGCAGGTAAAATAAGGGGCTATCCTAGAAGACAGGTACAAGGGGTTTCAAAGCAGTCACTCATATGTCAGCTGAGTTTATGTAAGTTTGTATTTTTTTTTTTTAAGTTAATATACCTCCCTAACTTGTATCCTGAATTTGGACATGGACATATCAGTAAAATTGTCTGTGTGTGTGTGTGTGTGTGTGTGTGTGTGTGTGTGTGTGTGTGTGTCTTTATTTATTTATTTATTTTTGTAACTGAGAGGATTAGATTACCTTAACTTCCAATATCATCCAGTTCCATATTTCTCGGTTCAATAATCAATTCATGAATAAGAGATTAATCATGAATAAGAGAATAATCTCTTTCTGAATAAGTGAATAAATGAATAAATTAGAAGAGACAGCACTGAAGGCTTAGATCATATCCATAACTGTTCAATGTATTTTATTCCTAGAAACCAGCCAATCTATTGCTGTAATAACATCTCACATACAGATTTCAAGCTTGGTAGGTCAATCAATTTTTTAAAATAAATTTATCAAAATGCAATCTGAAATGATTTATACAGTTTGGATGGAACTCAAAGAGATGAAATCATTGGCAAACGCCAAGGTGTTAGTGAATATTTTAAAAAAGAATTTGGTTTCCAATGTTCAGTCGCTAGGCAATGCTGTACTTGGCAAGTTTAGAGATTTACTTTTAGGTATTGGCAGAGAAAATTTAAAAAACAATTCTAAGAAATTGCCTTATGTAACATAAACAACCCATAGACTAATGTTTCTGTTGCTTGTTTTTGAAGATTATCAATTTCGGGATTTTCTGTTGCTCTTTTGATAATTCTGGTTGTGACCTCAATCTTTTGATCATGTACAGATGATGCTTCATTTATCTCCAATATTCCTTTGCATTCAAAATAATCTGTTAAGGCAATGACCCTACTTGGGGTGAACTTCTCCTTCAGGTTGGTGTTGAAAACTTTCACTTAGAAGAATTTAATCTGGGTAGCCACTGTAGCATGAAACATTGTGTTTTTACCCTCTCTTGGAGACTCATATTCAAACGGTTCTATAGTTTTCAGTACCAGAACTACCACTGGGCCCTTTTGGAGAAAATTTCTTTTGGTAGCTGTTTGAAGTCTGGCCTACTGTTTCTGATTCTGTGTTTGAGAGACACGGGAAAATAAACTTAAAATTTGAGCAGGGAATACGTAGTCACTTCCAAATGAGACAAACCTCAATGACAGCATTGGGACCCATCAACCTTCGGAGATATTTGCACCTAGGGCTAGGTTAGAGAAGGATTGCTTAGCAGGAAGTAATTGATAATGCACTGGTGTAATTTAGCTAGGGGGATTAAGGTAGAACACAACAGGCATAGAAGTTAGAACACTCTAGTTTAAACAGAATGATCTTTTAGAAGTAAACTATAATCTTCGGTTACAGAAACATAGAGTGGTAGATTATGAGAGCATTGTCCTGAAATGACTTAAGTGACAGATTACAATAAAACGCAAGTTCAAATATACCCTGTAACAATTTAAATGGCCAAAGAAAATTAAAAGAGTGAAAATCTTCAGTAGTATTGAAAATGAAAGTCGACCACCAAAAACACCAAAACACAAACGTCAAAGGTTATCTCTACTATGCCGGGGATATTTTGGAAATATAGTCCTGGTATGTTAAATTAATAAAACAAGTGATAGAATATTGATCATTGTATGAAATCAGTTCTGGAAAATTATAAATTTACTTATGAAGACCAATATCGAAAAGAATATGGAGAAAAATTGGTAATACCTGGATGGCAGGGTTTCAAGAAATTAAAAGTTAACATTGCTTGACTGGTTGGTTATAAACATTTTTCTAGTTTTTAAAATAATCATGTTTTAGTGGTGTAGATAGAGTGCAAAGGAGAGAGAGAGGAAGAAAGACTGAGACAGAGAGAGGGGGAGAGACAGACATTGTTTATGGTAGTATGGTTTTCCTTCAGAGCCCTGGTGGCACAGTGGTTAAGTGTTTGGCTGCTAATCAAAAGGTTGGCAGTTTGAATTACCAGCTGCTCTTTGGAAACCCTATAGGGCATTGTACTCTGTCCTGTAGGATTGCTATGAGTCGGAATGGACTCTATGGCAATAAGTTTGTTTTTGTTTTTCCTTCTAGGGCCATAATCCTTCTCATTCAGTGTGTAGTCAGAGAAAAAGAAGACGAGAAAATCAAAACCTCTCCATGTGATATAAGACTCATTTGAGTTTTCATGCGTTATTAGAATGCCACTGATGGGAGATACACTAAAAGACTAGAATTCCACTATTGAGAACAGTACAATCTAATAAAAGTAAACAGACATGCAAATATTTCCTTTCCTTTTCAGGCATTGGTGTATGGGTCTTGTATGGTCTTCCCTCTACCTATATTTTTCCGACTCCTCAACTCCTCTCCCTCTTCCATCTCCTTTTATGTTTGTTTTTGCATCCTTTGAGCCTCCATATTGATATCACCTGCTTTACTGGATTTAATGATCTGCATCTTATCCTTCATTAGCTACACTGATTCATATTATAGTACTCAGTTTTCATTATTGCATTAAGTAAACATATTTATTGAGAGCCTCCTGTGAGGCAGGCAAAAAACTGGGCACTAGGTTACATTGGTTCACAAGGTCAACAAGGTTGCCCCACGCTTGGAGCTCATAGTCAAGAGGGGTATACAAACATTTATTAACTACAGTAGTCATAAGTGGTAAAAAGTAAACCATAAAGGACTTCCAAATTGAATACCATAAAGTTTTCACATAGTCCGCATGGGGTCTCAGAAAGGATTCCTTCTGGAAAGATATCAATATTGGGATCCAAAGGTGGATAGGTTTTATCAAATTAAAAAATTTCCAGTTAAGAGACACGTGGTGTTTAAAACTCTGAAGAAGAAAGGAGCATGGTGTGTTGAAGAAACAATCATGGATTAGCAAGCAAAAGCATGAAACAGATTGGAGCGGTAGATAATATCACACTGCTGTGTTCTCATTCACTGGTGTGGATGCTGGACCTCTCTCGCTTTCCTCCTGGAACAACACAAAAGAGAAGACTTTTTGAAATCAGAAAGAATCCCAACTTCATCAAGTATCCATTGTGACAAGAAGAGATTAAAAGGTAGTGAATTCTCAGTATACTTTTGATTTATTAATTATTGAACTTATTTTTAGGTAGACCATGAAATTAGAATTCTGAGGTTTGATTCCTAATTTTTGGTGGTAGAACCTGAAGGAAAAGAGGAACAGCAAGAAAGTACCTGTCATGGATTGAATTGTGTCCCCCCAAAATATTTGCCAACTTGGCTGGGTCATGATTCCCAGTATTGTATGATTGTGCACCATTTTGTAATCTGACGTGATTTCCTTATGTGTTGTAAACGCTATCACTATGAAGAGGTTATACTGATGAAGTCTACAAGATTGTATAGTGTCTTAAGTCAATCTCTTTTGGGATATAAAAGAGAGAAGTGAGCAGAGACACATGGGATCCTCACACCACCAAGAAAGCAGTGTCAGGAGCAGAGTGTGCCCTTTGGACCTGAGGTTCCTGCCCAGAGAAGCTCCCAGATCAAGGGAAGACTGAAGACACAAACCTTCCTCCAGAGCCAACAGAGAAAGCCTTCTCCAGGAGCTGATGCCCTGATTCTGGACTTATAGCCTACTGGACTGTGAGATAATAAATTTCTCTTTGTTAAAGCCATCCACTTGTGGTATTTCTGTTATAGCAGCACTGGATGACTAAGACTGTACCTCAGTTAAGGAAGTGAAGGATGGAGTTGATGATAAGATTTGAGGAGGTGGGGGTGACCCATGGTTGTAGATGAAGGACAGGGGGGCTGACTCTGCTCCTGGGAAACATTTTTGGTTACAGGCTTCTCCTTGGCTGTGTTTTTTCTTTTCTGAAAGTAGTTTTTTTTTTTAGCACTAATAGTTTTCAGTATCAAAATGAAGCACAGCATATTTTTATTATTGTGTGCAGTAGGTTCTATCTAAAGGGATGTCATGGAATTTCCATTCTATAACCTGAAGAGATGACCAGTAGGTAAGAGGTGGGCACAGGTGGTTGCTTAAACAAAGAGAAAACTTCCTTAAACAAACACATCATTCTTAACAAATCAACTCTGTGGTTGAATGGGAAGGGCACTGGACTTGGAATTTAAAAAAATCAAGATTTGTGTTTGCATGGAAAAGATTTTTTCCAGTCTGATTGATAACCTATATTTATAATGGGATTACAATATCATAATCCTTTCATTACTACTCTTTTTCACCTTATTTTTATTTCTTTTTGATGGCATGTGCTTTCAGTATTGGAATGCATGCTTACTAATCGATTGTGTCTAAATTTTAGGTTGATAATATGTGTTTTGAGAAATATGTTAATATAAACCACCAATGAGGTGAGTGGCAGTTTGGTGCCACTGATCTGTGGCATGACATATGCCCATGAGAACTAAGTAGATAATTTATTGCAGGCTCCTTTCCATTAGATTACATGGGGATCCTCTGGTTTCCCAAATATGACACAGGGAGAAAAAAAAAATCAGGACTCCTGAACATCACACAAGAAAGCCATAATTATGCTTACAAGCCTTATCTTACAGAAGTAGATGAAAAAAGGCAAATGTTTACAAAATGAACATATCCAGGAAGCATCACCTAATAGAATGGTCAACCTGTACAACAATGAAGCTCCAACTCTGGTCTTCTCAGCTTCACGCATTTCAAGAGGGACCCACCTTGATGCTAAATGCATTAGAACCTGAATAATGCCTTACCTCTGAGGTCTAGAGGCATAAAAAGTGGCTGGTATACTATTAAAACAATAGTAACAAAAAGGATAATTATGTCCCAGAAATTCCCATCACCTTACTATAGTGCCTAGCTCATTGCCTAGCACAAAGGAGATCAGTAGTTACTTATTTTGATAAATACAAATTGTGTTGGAATATCAATGAAGCAAGTGCCTGAATGGGGAGAATGAGTGCAAGAGCCATCGCCGAAGTTTCTTTTGTGAGACATAGAGCCTGTCCTTCTTCCTCAGGCTTACCTGACCTTCTTGTGTGGTGAATGTAGACATTGCAGGACCTGTTCTATCTTGTTTGCTGCTTTTTATTAGAGTTCTTTTTTCTTCAATATCCTTTGCAACTGATGCAGAAAAAAGAAGACACAATAAACCCAGAGGAGCTAGTCTAAGGCAGCTGAAGCAGTTTCAACACTATTTCTTTCCAACTCCTGCTTGTGGATCAAGACATGCTTTTGACCACCTCTATTTCATTAGCAGAGTCTGGTTACATGGTGGCCAAAGGAGCAACACAGGCACGGGCCCCATCTCTTGCCTTTCCTTCACATCCCTGTACAATGAGCACATCCATCTCATCCTCTGGACTCCCATGCATGTCAGTCAACCTCTTTCCTGACCCTCTTATCCTATCTTGTCCTTTTGAAAATCTACAGTTTTCTCAATGCCGACTGGTGGATCATATTCTCCAGAAGATTTGTTCAAATTATAGAAACCAAATTATATGAAATATGATCTGATTTGTGATGTTACAAACTGGTGATATGGCCTTTGATTTTTTAAAAAATATTTTGTTTAAGCACAGTGATTTCACAGGTAGGTAAGTCTCACCTCATGTTTGTTACTAGAGAGGATAATAATGATGGAGTAAATAGTCTTAATAGAGTAGGTGCAGTAATTGCTTAAATGTAAATATGAAGCATAATTTTTGCAAATATTCTTTGCCATTCTCTAACTTTTCTAATATACAGGTAATCTCAGCCTTTCTCATCAATTCTCTCTGGCTTTTGCTCTTTACCTGAACCTCAAATAAACCCATTGCCATCAAGTTGATTCCAACTCATAGCGACCCTGTAGGACAGAGTAAAACTGCCTCATAGGGTTTCCAAGGAATGGCTGGTGGATTTGAATTGCTGACATTTTGATTAGCAGCCAAGTTCTAAACCACTATGCCACCAGGGCTCCAGAACGCCAAATACATCCTCCAAAATACATCAATCCGCATTACAGGAAAGACATAAATTCTAAACTGTTGGCTTCTGAGGTTCACCATTATTGTGACTACTAAGACTTAACTTGGGAAAGGGATATATCAGTTATGATGAAGGCAAGTTTCTATTCAAGGATCTGGTGAGTGTAGGGTTGGTTGGAGTGAGGGGGGTCTCCCCTATTACCTTTTAACTTTGCTCTTTTAAGCATTCTATAGGCAGCACCTTGGAACTTTTCTTCCATCAAGTCAACAATCTTAATTCTGTCATATTCTTCCTCCATTTTTCTTGTCAATTGTAAATCATGGGCCAGGAAATTCTTAAGTATTTTAAAGGAATAATCATTGATGACACATAATTCCTCCAGTAGAATAATTTTCTTGTATTCATTTTCCATCTTTCAAGTTATGGCTAAGTCTACAAGAGAAAAACGACATTCAGTATTGCACATTTACACAGAATTTAAAGAGCTGGATATGCCTGTGTGAGTGAGTAGTCTTATTAATATCCTCTCTCCCTGAAGCTTGGGACATGTTCTTTGTGGGTATGTACTTATATCACTGCTACTTTGGTGGACTTCTATTTGCCCTCTAGTGCAGAATTGCAGCATTTATTTTTTGGGCCTTGATTATTTTAACAGTCACTTACTTTACTCCTTCTAGTCTTACTTTCACTAAAATAGTTCTTTCTAGGCAAGCTGTTATCTTTCTATAAAGCTCTATCTGTCTTAAATCCTGTAATAATTTCCCATTTTCTTTAGAAAAAAATTTTTATTCTTTATCATGTGTTATGGATTGAATTGTGTCCCCCAAATATGTGTGTCAAATTGGCTATGACATGATTCCCAGTATTGTGTGGTTGTCCACTATTTTATGATCTGATATGATTATCCTATGTATTGTAAATCCTAACCTCTATGATGTTAATGAGGCAGAATTAGAGGTAGTTATATTAATAAGGCAGGACTCAATCCACATGATTAGGTTGTATCTTGAGTCAGTCTCTTTTGAGATATAAAAGAGAGAAGAAAGCAGAGAGGAGAGGGACCTCATTATCACCAAGAAAGAAGAACCAGGAGTGGAGTGCATCCTTTGGACCTGGGGTACCTGCACTGAGAAGCTCCTAGACAAGGGGAAGATTGATGAAAACAACCTTTGCCCAGAGTCAACATAAAAACAAAGCCTTCCCCTGGACCTGATACCCTTAATTTGGACTTCTAGCCTCCTAGACTGTGAGAGAATAAATTTATGTTTGTTAAAGCCACCCACTTGTGGTGTCTTTGTTATAGCTGCACTAGATAATTATAACACTATGGTTTAGAAGTGCTTGAAAAATCTTTTTCTTTATTACTTTCCTTCCCTATTTCATGTATCTTACACTCTAGCAATATACAGAACATATTGTTTTTACAGTCCTCCTGATTTTGCTAATGCCCTTCATGTTGCCTGGAAAGCCATTCCCACCTTCCTCCCTCTGACTAACTTCCAAACAGCCTTCAAGGCTTAGCTGAGTCTTTGTCTTCTGCATGGTGCAAACAGTTACAGCCATCAGTTGTCAACAAAAGTTTGAAGGTTCAAGTCTACCCACAGGCTCATCGGAAGAAAGGCCTGGTGATCTATTTCCAAAAAATTAATCAATAAAAATACTATTGAGCACAGTTCTACTCTGACATAATTGGGGTCACCATGAGTTGGAGTTGACCGAACGGCAACTGTTATTTATATTTTTGTTGTTGTTGTTGTTGTTTTTTGGTCTTTGGAAGTTTCCATATTGGACTGTCACTCCTCAGAGTTTCTCCAGCACCTGTATACTCCCTTGATGACACAACTCAGTGCCTAGTATGGATTCTAATATTCTGTTTTAATTCATGAATTTTTTTAGTTTAGGTACCTAAGTCTTTGGGTACCTTTTATATAATTTGTATGGTCAAATACCTGGATCTTTAAATTGATTTCTTCCTGAGGGCAAGTGAATGCTGTCAGATTGAACAGGCCCATAGAATGAAGGAAAAACCCACACCAAGACTCTGAGAACTTCCTGAGATAAAAAATGTGATCACATACAAAGATTTAAGAATGAAATTGAAACTGATTCTCAACAGCAAAACTGACTGTAGCAAAAGAATGGAATAATGTTTGTATAACATAATACTTGTCCAAAAATTCCATTTGTAATTCCAAAACACTATAAAAATGAAAATATTTTTTGGAGAAGGGGCTGAGGAGTGTGGCAACAAAATATATTTACAAAATAAAACTTGATGGAAAGTGATATTAAGCCATTTATAATCTCTGTTCATCCTACATTAGTGTGAATAGTCACATAATTTGCTGCAGAAACAGTAATACGTTTGATTTTGCAGTACTGATGCTGTCTCCATTTGGTCACCTATGCAGTATTGAAGACAGAGCGTATACATTAAATAGCTGTTTTACCAGTTGTGGCCTAGTCGATTCTGACTCATGATGCCCAATGTGTGTCAGAGTAGAACTGTGTGCCATAGGGTTTTCAATGGCTGTGATCTTTCAGAAGTGGATCACCAGGTCTTTCTTCTGAGGTATCTCTGGATGGATTTGAACCACCAAACTTTGGTTTGTAGCCAAGTGCTTAAGTATTTGCACCACCCAGGGACTCTAAATATCCTTTCTAAAGCCAAAAAAAAAAAAAAAAAAGAATCCCAAACGTATCTTGTCCAATGGTTTCAGAAGAGGTTCTCTGAGCAAGTATTCATTTAATTTTTGAAACTAAAATTTTATACCTATGGAAATGTTATGGAGCCCTGGTGGCATAATGGTTAAGAGCTTGGCTGCTAATCAAAAGGTTGACAGTTCAAATCCATCAGCTTCTCCTTGGAAACCCTATGGGGCAGTTCTACTCTGTCCTATAGGGTCGCTGTGAGTAGGAACCGACTCAACGGCACCTAACAACAACAATAACATCAAAATGTTATTTAAATGTTAAAAACCAAAAATTAAACCCATTGCCATTGAATCGATTCTGACTGATAGCCACCCTATAGGACAGAGTAGAACTACAGCACAGGGTTTCCAAGGAGCAGCTGGTGAATTCGAACTGCTGACCTTTTGGTTAGCAGCGGAGCTCTTAACCACTGCACCACTAGGGCTCCATTTAAATGTTATAGCTTAAACAAACTATTGTCTGAGAGTCAAAAATTCTGAAATTTTGTGCTACTAAGACCCTGCCAACAACACTTTGGGAAGAATTATTCAATAAGAAAATTTAAAAAAAGCCAAGAAACCCTGGAAGCCATAAGGGAAATGAGTGAACAAATAATTAAGTTTCTCAATGTCTTAAATAGCCAGAATCAAAGACAGAAAGCAGAAAGTGTATCAACAGAATGAGGGTACAGGGAGCGGGACTAGAGGATATGACAGTTCAGTAAAGTATTTGTCTTTAACGCAGGGATAGATACAAAAAATGTTTTTAACTTGACAAAAAGGAGAATGGAGCATAGAATAAGTGTTACAAATTGAAACAATGTGTGATGGCAGAAACAAGTTATCTTGAGGATAAATCCCCACAAAGATTCTAGTGATACTGAAGAATATTAAAAATAAAGTGAAAATCCTATAAACAAGAAAGGAGAGGCAATTATCTGGGTGACTCACCTATCCCATTGATATCTGGAGCCTGATTCAAGGGGCTATAGGTTTCTCCTTACCCACATGCAAGTCAGCAGAATAGGACAGTGCCAATGTTGGAACTCTTTTCAACCACTGTTATGGATTGAAATGTGTCCCTCAAAAATGTGTGTATCAGTTTGGCTAGGCCATGATTCCCAGTATTGTGTGATTGTCCACCATTTTGTCATCTGATGTGATTTTCCTACGTGTTGTAAATCCAGTCTCTATGATGTTGATGAGATGGGATTAGTGGTAGTTATGTTATTGAGGCAAGACTCAATGTACAAAATTGGATTGTGTCTTGAGCCAGTCTATTTTGAGATGTAAAAGAGAGAATCCAGCAGAGAGACATGGGGACATCATATCACCAAGAAAGCAACTCCAGGAGCAGAGCGCATCCTTTGGACCTGAGGTTCCTGCTCAGAGAAGCTCCTAGAGCAGGGGAAGCTTGATGACAAGGAACTTTCCCCAGAACTGACAGAGAGAGTAAGACTTCCCCTGGAGCTGATGCCCTGAATTTGGACTTCTAGCCTACTAGACTGTGAGAGAAAAAATTTTTGTTTGTTAAAGCCATCCATTTGTGCTATTTATGTTATAACAGCACTAGATAATTAAGACAGCCACTGATATGTGTAACTCAAAAAAGCAAAGAAGGAGCACTTTATTTCTGGTTCTTGTGGCTAAGATTACTTGCTTACACACAAGAAACTGTTCAGTTTATCTGCTGAAATAGAGGGCTATGAAAATTGATACATGGTAAACATTGTATCATAATATATATAAATGGGCTAAACTCTCCAGCTAAGAGACAAAGTTTTTGAATATGGATTGAAAATAAAATCCAGCTAATGTTTTGCTGACAAAACACAAATAAAGCATAAGTTCATTTAAGAATTGAAAAAAGTTGGAAAAAATTATATTGTGTAAACTCTAACTAAATGAAAACAGATTTAGTTATAATGAATCCAAAAAACCAAACTTGTTGCCTTCGAATGGATTCTGACTCATAGCAACACTATAGAGACCGTACAGGACAGAGTAGAACTGCCCCATAGGGTTTCCAAGGAGTGGCTGATGGATTCAAACTGCCGAACTTTTGGTTAGCAGCTGAGTTTTTAACCACTGCACAACCAGGGCTCCTTAGCTATAATAGTATAGTTTAAAATAAACTTTTAGAATAAGAGTATCAGTAGAGGTAGAGTTTCACTACATAATGATAAAAGTTGTAACACCCAAGAAGACAAAACAATTTAACTGAGCATTTACCTAATAAAATAAATATTCATTATGTTATTACTTTATATTACTTTACATTACTCAATACATTACTTAACAATGACAAGATTTAGCAAATATTTCTATCTCTATATATCTACAATTATATATACACACACTATATACTGTTGTTCTCATTGTTGGGTGCCATTGAGTCATTTCTGACTCATGGAGCTCCTATGTACAACATAAGGAAACACTACCAGTTCCTGCACCATCCTCAGACTCATTGCTATGTTTAGGCTCATTGTTGCAACGGTGATGTCAATCTATCCCACTGAGGGTCTTACTCTTTTTCGTTCACCCTCTACCTTTCCAAGGATGATGTCCTTCTCCAGAGACTGGTCCATCAAGATAACATGTCCAAAGTACCTGACAACATATAATTCAGCTTTATATCCTGATTTATTTTTTCCTTAATATTTCATGATACTTCTCTCATGCCACTATCTTGTCTTTTACCCAGGTCCCATCACAGCCACCAAGATGTCTCCTTATCCTCCAGTTGAGAAAACAAAAGCCCTTCTCTAAATATCAACTATTCCAATAGACACCTGGAGAATTAATTTTAAAAATCTCTATTGTCAAAGTAGAAAGACTAAATACTAAAAAAGACATCAAGTTTGGTAAACTACAGGGTCAGTGAAAACAAGGGAAAATTTTCCTGACATGGATTGACACAGTGGCTGCAACAATGGGCTCAAACATACAAATGATCGTGAAGGTGGCACAGAACTGGGCAGTGTCTCGTTCTGTTACACAGAAGGTTTCCATGAGTTGGAGCTACTTAAGGGCAACTAAAACTAAATAGTTAGAATGCAATTTGCTTTGTTCAGGCCATACTTGTAGTGGGTTAAAGAACAATTATTTTCTATGTAGAGAGGTAAAGGATTAGACTCAACCTACTGCAATTTCCATTTCTCTGAAATATAGTTGATGCTGGCCCTTCTTCTCCCAGAAAACTCCATAATTAATCCTCCCTCTGTGATTTTATGGTTACCAATTAGGTACCCAGATCTCTACAGAAACTCCCACAGGACTCACCTCACTGGAGACTTCTTTCACAGTAATCTAGATCTTGAGATCTTTAGAAGTACAGGAATCACGGTTTGTCTTGTAAGAGAAGAAAGAGATATCAGTAAAGATCTCCAGAGACTGACTGTAGGATGCTATAACCTTGTCAAAGGCTAGACAATGACCTATTTTGAAAGACAGCAAGGAAAGATGGCACTGATTAGAGTGACTTGAAAACTTGGTTGTTGATATCCAAATCACACCATGCTAACTCCTAAGGAGAAAGAAGTTATGTACTTAAGAAACAATTTTGAGGCTCCGCCTATCAACTGTCATAGCTTTCTATTTCACTAGTCTGAAAAAACTTTACAGTTTCCTGTCTGTGAACAAGTAATCTTAGCTACAAGGAGAAATGATAGCAAAGTACTTCGTCTTTACCTTTTCTAGTTACAATTATCAGTAGTTGAAAGGAGTTCCAACCTTAGAACTTTATTGGCCAGATGACACATATGTGGGTTAGGAGAAATTATACCCCTTTGAATAAGCCTCAAGATATCAAAGGGGATGGGTGAGTCACTAGCCAACTTTCCCTCCTTTCCAGTTCACAGAGTGGCAGTGGCAGGAGGAGATCTTAGAAGAAGCATCTCTACCTATCAGCTCTTGATTGCCCCTCCTGAGTGGAGGCGGATCTTCTATGAAACCGCTTTTGGTATAAATAGTTCCTGAAGCATTTACCCAATTATTAGTATTTGACATAGCTAGGGCTTGACAGAGGCAAATGACCATTGCAAATATGTAAATCCTTCCTCAAATATCAAAAACAATTATACACTAGCTTCCTCTTGACTATGACGAGACTGCATTACCTCAATGATTAAATTTCATGGTCACCCTAGACTTTCAAGTTATTCATGGACAAAGTCAAGTTGAAATGGGCTCCCATCATGACAGCACTGAAGCCTTTCAGATTCTGCAAGAGCACTGAGCTTCAGGGAGAGCTGGGATGTGATAAACAATTTTTTTCTTCAGTGTGTTTTTTGTTTGTTGTTTTTTTAAGGATAGTGTTTGCACTCCAGAGTACAGTAAGCTTTGATATGTCAAATAAACCGCATCAGCAAGAAGACAGTATTATGTTACCTCTCCAGCTGATCTGCAGGCACGATGAGAACATGCCCGAAAAAGGACCCTAAAAGGCAGCTAATGTTGGTACATGATCTGTGGTCATCTAAGAACCAAAACCAATCCCATTGCCATCGAGTCGATTCTGACTTATAGTGATCCCATGTGTTGGAGAGTTGAAGTGCTTCATGGGGATTTCCTGTCTGTAATCTTTACAGATCTCCAGGCCTTTTTCTTTCTTTTTCCATACAAAAAATCATACATACGTTGTTATGGGACTCTAATTGCTCTCCCCATGCTGTGACAGAACACTCCTTTCCACCTCTGATTCCCCGTGTACATTCAACCAGCTCCTAACCCTCTCTGCCTTCCCATCTCACCTCTGGAGAGAAGCTGCCCATTTAGTATCTTGTATCTACTTCAGCTAAGAGGCATACTCCTCAGAAGTATCACTTTATGTCGCACAGTCCAGTCCAATCCCTGTCTGAAGAGTTGGCCTCGGAAATTGTTTTAGTTCTGGGCTGATGGAGAAACCAGGGGCCATGCTTTCCGAGGTTCCTCCAGTCTCAGTCAGACCATTAAGTCTGGTCTTCTTACTAGAATTTGAGTTCTACACCTGACCTGTCTCCTGCTCCATCTGGGACTCTGTTGTGTTCCCTGTCAGGGAGGTCATTGGTGGTAGCTGGGCGCTGTCTACTTCTTCTGGTCTCAGGCTGATGAAATCTCTGGTTTATGTGGCGCTTTCTGTCTCTTGGGTTAATACTTTCATTGTGTTTTTGGTGTTCTTCATTCTCCTGTACCCAGGTGGTTGGGACCTATTGATGCATCTTAGATGGCCAGCCACTTGCAAGCTTTTAAGACTCCAGATGCCCCTCACCAAAGTAGGATGCAGAACATTTTCTTAATAAGCTTTTTTATGCCAATTGACAGAGATGTTCCTTGAAAGCATGGTCTCCAGGCCCCTACCCCTGCTAATGTGTCCTTCAAAGTGTTTCAGGAAACTTCTTAGTTTTGGTTTAATCCAGTTGTGCTGACTTCCCCTGGAGTGTTCTGTCCTTCCCTTCACCTAAGATAATTCTTATCTACTATCTAGTTAGTAAATAACTCTGACGCTCCCTCCCCACCCTTGTAACCATCAAAGAATGTTTTCTTCTGTGTTTATACCTTTTCTTGAGTTCTTATAATAGGGGTCATATACAATATTTGCCTTTCTGTAACTGACTAATTTCACTCAGCATAATGACCTCCAGCTTCCTCCATGTTATAAGATGTTTCACGGGTTCATCTTTGTTCTTTATCGTTGCATAGTATACCATTATGTGGATATACCATAATTTGTTTATCCATTCATCCGTTGATGAGTACCTAGGTTGTTACATCTTTTTGCTATTGTGAACAATGCTGCAATGAACATGGGTGTGCATATATCTATTCATGTGATAGCTCTTATTTCTCTAGGATATATTCCAAGGAGCGGGATACCTGGATCATGAGGTACTTCTATTTCTAGCTTTTTAAGGAAGCGCCAAGTCAATTTCCAAAGTGGTTGTACCATTTTACATTCCCAACAACAGTGTATAAGTGTTCTAGGCTCTCCACAACCTCTCCAGCATTTATTACTTTGTGTTTTTTGGATTATTGCTAGCCTTGTTGGGGTGAGATGATATCTCATCTTAGTTTTGATCTGCATTTCTCTAATGGCTAATGATCGTGAGCATTTCTTCACGTGTCTGTTAGCCGCCTGAATATCTTCTTTGGTGAGATGCCTGTTCATTTCCTTTGCCCATTTTTTAACTTGGTTATTTGTCTTTTTCTTGTTGAGGTTTTGCAGTATCTTGTAGGTTTTAGAGATTAGATGCTGATCAGATTTGTCATAGCCAAAAATTGTTTCCCAGTCTGTAGGTTGTCTTTTGCCTCTTTTGGTGAAGTCTTTTGATAAACACAAGTGTTTGATTTTTAAGAGCTCCCATGTATCTAGTCTCTCTCCTAGCACTTGTGCATTGTTACTTATGGTTTGTATTATGTTTATGCCATGTATCAGGGCTCCTAGTGTTGTCCCTATTTTTTATTCCATGATATTTATCGTTTTTGATTTTTATTTAAGTCTTTGATCCATTTTGAGTTAGTTTTTGTGCATGGTGTGAGGTATGGGTCTTGTTTCAGTTTTTCGCAGATGGATATCCAGTTATGCCAGCACCATCTGTTAAAGAGACGGTCTTTTCCCCAATTAACAGACTTTGGGCCTTTGACAAATATCGGCTGCTCATAGATGGATGAATTTATGTCTGGATTCTCAACTGTGTTCCATTTGGTCTATGTATCTGTTGTTGTACAACTACCAGGCTGTTTTGACTACTGTGTCAGTATAATAGGTTTTAAAATCAGGTAGTGTGAGGCCTCCCACTTTGTCTTCTTGAGTCATGTTTTATTTATTTGGGGTCTTTTCCCTTTCCATCTGAAGTTGGTGATTTGTTTCTCCATTTCATTAAAACATGCCGGTGGGCAGGTTTCGGCAAAATGGCGCTCTAGGCAGAAGCACCATGCCGTCCCTCCAAAGCAAAGATCAGAGAAACTAAGCCAAACAGAGAATACAACAATCCTGAAACCCTAAAACATCAAATAAAGAGATAAAGAACTCAGCCAAGCACCAAATGGAGTGAGAAAACTGACAAAGAACGGAGAGTGAGGAGAGATTCATGCAGAGGTCCCCTCACAGCTAAAACAGTGTGGATCCGCCATCTTGGACTCCTATCAGAGACCAGCAAACAGGAGGTACAAGAAAGCAGCCTCACGTAGGGTCCAGCGGGAGACAAAACAACCAGTAATTTGTGATATATGCTTCCCAACCCACCACCCTTCTTCACCCTGACTAGGCCTCCTCTGCTTCCCACGGCCACAATCTCTTGACTGGGAAACACCGGCTGCTTGGATTCCACACACCTGAATGGGCCAGCTCTCTGAGTGCCATTTGTTGCCTGCTGGTGTTGCTTTTTTCCGCTTCTTTTGATTTCTTCCTTACCTCTCACCACCTCCCCCTCCTTTCGCTCAAATACCTGGCTCCGTGCGCCATCTTCGCTTCTTCCTGCGGGGCTGTGGAGCTCCGTTCAAGTGTGGAGCTGCTTCCCGGTCTGGACTGCTGCGCTGGTGGGATCCCAGGGCTTTTGTTCATTTGTTTGTTTTGAATTGTTTGTTTGTTTTCTTTTCCTTTTCTTGAGTTTGGAGCACTTTCTGGCCAGGCGGTGCTGGGTGGCAAGACTTCACCCTCGGCTTGCACAGAAGTGCAGAGGGATCCCTGAAGGCATTTCTTTTTTCATTGTTTGTTTTTTTTCTGTTTTTTGGGGGCCCTTCCCTGTTCTTTTTTTTTTAATTTGTTTTCTCTCTTTTTCCCCTTTTGTCTTTCTTCATTGCTCAGTTTCTCATCTCTCTATATCTTCCCTTCTCTTTCTGTTCCCTGAATACCTGGTGTTGTATACCTCTACGCCTTCTAGCCAGGCTGTATTGCAAGACCTGAGAGCGACTTCCCCAGACCTCATAGCTACACCAGTGGGATCCCTGGGAACTTTGCAGTTATTTAATCTTTCCAATTTTTATTTATTCATTCTTTTCTTTTCTTTTCTTCCTCTTCCCCTTTCTTATTTTCTCCATTTCATAGTCTTTCATCTCTCCACTCCAATGGCAAGCTCCCCTAGCATTCTTTTTTGTTTGTTTGTATGTTTTTGGCCCCGTTCCTCTATCCTCTCTCCCATATCCATCTTAGCTCCACACATCACAGTCTCCCTGCTGCATCCTGCCTAACTGCACCATACGCTTGACATCACATCACCAAGAAGCACACCCTGGTGGCTGTAGTAAGTGCCACAAACAACCCGTCCCAGTAACTCCTCTTCAGCTAGACCTGCCCTGCAGTATCATATGTGAGTGACTGACCCTGCCAATTGGAGAGGGAGGAGAAAAGCATTGTGCCCACAGACGAGCAAACAACAAAGAACACAAAGTCTGCCTGCTCAGACATAGTCAATTTTTTTTTAAAAGGGATGAAACAAACAAATCTACAATCAATAAACGAGAAACATAACTACTGAACTCCCCAAAGGCAGCAGACAATATCGAAACATTTACAAAAACAGGACAGGATGGTTCCAGTAGGCGTCCAAAATAAAACACCAGATGACTCTCCTCTGGAAGAAAATGCACTAGAACTACCTGACAGGGAATTCAAATCTCTAATACTCAGAATTCTCCAAGAGGTGAGGTAAAAAGCTGACAAACATAAGGAAAAAGTAGACAAATTCATGGAAAATACAGACAAAAATTTGGAACAATTCAGGAAAATAATGCAGGAACAAAATGCCAAAATAAATTTACAACTAGAAAATATACAAAGACAACAATTAGAAATCAAAAGGATAAACAAGATTTCAGAAATGGACGGTGTCATAGAAAGGCTGAGAAGC